GGTCCCATAGACCCTTGGGACCCTCACTCAAAATAAACTACACATGCTGTAGTAGGTAGTACCCTGTGTTAGTTAGTTCTGGGAAGAAATTACAACATCTGCGAGATTTCTGGGAATTATAATAGAATCATAGAATAGTTAGAGTTGGAAAGGACCTTAAGATCATCTAGTTCCAACCCCCCTGCTCATGTTCATTTACTCATCGACCAACACCCCCAAGTCCTTCTCCGCAGGGCTGCTCTGACTCTCTTCTCTGCCCAACCTGCAGTTGTGCTCACATTGCCCCCAACCCAGCTGTAGGACCTTGCACTTGGCATGGTTAAACTTCATAAGTTTGGCATCAGCCCACCTCACAAGTGTGTCAAGGTCCCTCTGGATGGCATTCCTTCCCTCCAGCGTATCAACCGAACCACACAGCTTGGTGTCATTGGCAAACTTGCTGAGGGCGCACTCAATCCCACTGTCAATGTCACCGACAAAGATGTTGAACAAGACCGGTCCCAACACCAATCCCTGTGGGACACCACTCGTTACCGGTCTCCAGCCGGACATTGAGCCATTGACCACAACTCTTTGCGTGCGACCAGCCAGCCAGTTCTTTATCCAGCGAGTGCTCCACCTATCAAACTGGTGTCTCTCCAATTTAGAGACAAGGATGTCATGTGGAACAGTGTCAAACACTTCACACAAGTCCAGGTAGATGACATCAACTGCTCTACTCCTGTCCATCAGTTCCGTAGCCCCATCATAGAAGGCCACCAAATTGGTCAGGCAGGATTTCCCCTTAGTGAAGCCATGCTAAAGTCACTAAACACCTTGTTGTTTTTCATGTGCCTTAGCATACATTCCAGGAGAATCTGCTCCAAAATTTTGCCAGGCACAGAGGTGAGAGTGACTGGTCTGTAGTTCCCTGGGTCATCCATTTTCCCCTTCTTGAAAATGGGGGTTATATTTCCCTTTTTCCAGTCATCGGGAACTTCACCTGACTGCCATGATTTTTCAAATATGATGGACAGTGGCTTAGCGACTTCATTCGCCAGCTCCTTCAGGACCCGCGGATGGATTTCATCAGGTCCCATGGACTTGTATATGTTCAGATTTTTAAGATGGTCTCGAACCAGATCTTCTCCTACAGTGGGCCTAGGGTCTCCATTCTCACAGTCCCTCTGTCTGTCTTCCAAGACTTGGGTGGTGTGGCCAGAGCCTTTGTGAGTGAAGACTGAGACAAGTCATTGAGAACTTCAGCCTTCTCGATATCCAGGACAGGCAGTTCTGATAGCTTCTGGAGGGGGCTACATTGTCCCTAGTCTGTCTTTATTCGATACGTACCTACAGAATCCCTTCCTGTTATCCTTAACATCCCTAGCCAAGTTTAATTCTAACTGGGCCTTAGCTTTCCTAACCTGGTCCCTAGCTTCCCAGACAACATCCTTGTATTCTTCCCAGGCTGCCTGTCCTTGCTTCCACCTCTTATAAGCCTCTTTTTTCCTTCAAAGTTTCCTCAGCAGCTCCTTATCCATCCAAGGAGGTCTCCTGGCCCTCCTGCTGCACTTCCTTCTGGTTGGGATGCAACACTCCTGAGCTTGTAGCAGGTGATCCTTGATTATCAACCAACAGTCTTGGGCCCCCCTGCCCTCTAGGGCTGTATCCCGTGGAACCCTTACTAAGCAGGTTCTTGAAGAGGCCAAAGTTTGCTCTTTTGAAGTCCAGGGCAGTGAGCTTGCTGCACATTCTTCTCACTTTCCTGAGGATCTCAAATTCGACCATCTCAGATCCCTGCAACCAAGGCTGCCCTGGAGCATCACATTTCCAACGGTCCTTCCCTGTTGGTGAGCACAAGGTCAAGCATAGCACCTCTCCTTGTCCGCTCCTCTATTACTTGCAGAAGGAAGTTGTCTTCCACACAATCGAGGAACCTCCTGGACTGCTTATGCTGGGCCGCACCATCCCTCCAACAGATATCAGGGTGTTTGAAGTACCCCATGAGGACAAGGGCCTGCGAGTGTGAGGCTGTTCCTATCTGTCTGTAGAGTGCTTCATCAGCAGATTCCTCTTGGTCAGGCGGTCTGTAACAGATCCCCACAGTAATGTCCCCCATAGTTGTTCTCCCTTTAACCCTGACCCACAAACTCTCTGTTGACTGCTTACCTGTCCCTAGACAGAGTTCCAGACTCTCCAGCCTATCCCCAACATAAATGGCAACTCCCCCTCCCCACCTGCTGAGCCTGTCCTTTCTAAAAAGCCTGTAACCTTCCATTCCAACACTCCAGTCATAGAGCCATCCCACCATGTTTCTGCAATGCCTATTATATCATACCCCCGTAGACGTGCACACAACTAAATATGTATGAGATCAATGCTTATAAGCAAGAAACCTGTAAGAATCGGCATGCACGTTAGGCAGAAGTATCCCATTGCAATAAAAAATGCCTTCTTAATGCTACATTGGTATTAAGGAGTTTTATTCTCCTGACTTTCAGTGACACAACAACTTTAAAATTATCTTTCCATCTGAAAAAGATGCATAAAGTATTTTCTGTCATCACCACAAATATGACATGGGCTATGTAGCTTTTGCTCTATCACAGTAAGTTTAGATATTGTTTTAACAAGAGAAGCCATTAATCTAATACCTTGGTATTAAAAAGCTGTATGAATTCAAAGGGGAAAAAAACAGACATGCAATTGTGAATATTAACAATATTAAACAAATATACAAAACCCTTCTCGAGATCCTAAATTAATTACTGATGGTACTGTGACACTCACAAACTGCAGGTGTGTTCAATGCCTTCTTTGAGGAAACATCAGAGCAGCATTCCTCAAGGTGAGGTCCAGTGGTAGCCCATTATGCACCAGAAATTGCTTTACAAAGTAACTGAGAAACTAAAAACATTGAGAAATACATGTGAGAAGTAAATTTTATTATTTGTTCATTAAGCTTTACCCTAATTTTTATCTGATTATATATGAAGCTGTGGTAAATACTTCTTAGCATTTTTCAGACTGACTGAATGGTCGTAGCTGGCAGGGATCTCTGGAGCTCATCTGGTCCAACCCCCTGCTCAAGCAGATCACCTAAAGCTGGGTGCCCAGAACTATTCCCAGACAGTTTTTGGATATCTCCAGGGAGTCAGACCTCATGACCTCCCTCAGCAATCTGTGCCACTACTCAGGGTGACTGACATTACAGGGTGATTGACATTACAGAGAATAAGCATCTTCTGATTTTCTCAGGGAACATCCACCTCCTTGTTTCAGACTGTGCCTGGCTACATCATCTTGCACCTTCCCTTCATGTATTTATATACATTGATGAGATCCTTCTGAGCCTTCTCTTCTCCAGGTTGAACAGTCCCAGGTCTCTCAGCCTTGCCTCCTAGAAGACATGCTCCAGTCCTTTCATCATCTTGGTGGCCCTCGGCTGGACATGGTATATGTCCATGTCTGTCCTGCACTAGTCCCCTCCGCCAGCAGCAGAAATTTATGTTTCCCCTTGTTGAACTGCAGGAGGTTCCTCTGAGCCCCTTTCTCCAGCCTGTCCAGGTCCCTCTGGATGGCAGCACAACCCTTTCTCTGGGGTATCAGCCACTCCTTCCAGTTTGGTGTCCTCTGCAGCCTTGCTGAGGGTGCACTCTGCCCATCATCCAGATCATTAATGAAGATATTCAACAGCATCAGACCCAGCATTGACCTCTGGGGTACTCCCCTAGTTACTGGCTCCAACCAGACTACTCGCTACTGATCGCCTCCATCTTGGGCTTATATTAGTGCCCATAGTACATTCAGGGTACGTATCAGAACTGCTGCATTCCCTTTGTCAGACTGCACACATACATGAAGAGGCACAGCTGGCTGTGCTGCCAGGCCTCTGCCGTTTTCTGCTAAGCACTGTATATGCACCGAACTTGCACAACACTCTCTAGCATGCAGTGTGATCATCCAGTTGGCTATGATTAATGAGAGACACTAGTCAGTCTCAGTTTTCTAAATCATAGAATGGTTTGGGCAGAAGGGCCCAGTTCCACCAGTTCATCCAGTTCCACCTCCCCACCCACCATGGGCAGGGACACATTCCACTTGACCAGATGGTCCAAACCAACCTTGGCCTTCAGGAGTCAGAGAAAGGACACAGCACTCTTGCAGCTTGCTGATGTGGTCCTGCAGGCACAGCTGCATGGGAATTTGTTCTCCAGGTTCGTACGCTGCAGCCTGTGTCTTCTGGCAAAGTGTGCTGGTGCTAAAGCAAACACCCAGCACGCACACATACACACATGCACTGTTCTACAAGCCATGTGTCTGTTCTTCTGCCATACCTGTCTCTTTGCAAACATAAGACTGCAAACAGAAATCTGGGCTACAACAGAATAAGGCAGAACCCAAAGGTGATAGTAGAAGAGCTACCACGGATCTGGGGAGCAGAAACTCAGCTGGATGCTGACCAACCTATGAAAAAGTAAAACAGTGGAAAGCTCGACCAGACAGTGCCTCTGAACTTATTATCTCAGGTCCTCTTAGGACCACTGATAAAGTGTTAATTGAAGCCAGTCATCTACCTGATTTTTACTCATTCTGAAGGGTAACCTTGGCTCGTAAGCATCTGCCCGGCTGCAGGTGCCCCGCTTTGCTGCTGTGCGTGAGTTGCCCTGTACCTTAAGCCCCGCCCTCAAGTACGGCAGCCTGAGGCTGCAATTTAGGCAGCATTCCTGCCGCAGAGCCAAGGTTTCTACTGTAATCCCACAAGGACTATTCCAGGGAGCCGAGATCTCGCATTCCACCCACGGTGTTGCTCCACTGAGGCCTGCTAGGGCAGCGCTACTCTGCGGCGCGACCTCTGCCCCCTGAACGGGCAGCAACCCCCGCCCCCCCAGAGCTTTCCCCGCCCACCCGCGTCATCCACTCCAGCGCGTGCGCGGCAGCGGCGCGCTCAACCCACAAGAGGTACACGTTCCACCTCCTGACAGGGTGATGGGCGGTTATAGACAGCACCATCAGCCAATGGGATTGCAGGACTGGGAGAGGGGGCGGGACTTCCTGATAAAGGGGAAGTGGGAGTGTGATCAGCGCGGGTGGACGGTGGTTAGGGTGTGGGTGCTGTCATTGTGATGGCTGCGCCCGCCACCGCCTCGTTTCGGGCTGATAAGGAGAGGTAACAGGGCTCGCGCCCGGCTGCTGCCTGGAATAGTCTCCCTCTTTCTTGGGGTGGGGTGCAGTTGTGGGGGCGGGGGGGATGGATGCAGCTGTGGGGGGTGCGACTGCTGTTGTATTTGTGGGCGTCAGTAATTAGTTTGGGCGTTTGAGGTGGAACGTGAAGAGACTGAGGCGCTGGCACAGATTGCCCAGAGAATCCATGGCTGCCCCATCCTTGGCAGTGTTCAGGATCAGGTTGGATGGGGCTTGGAGCAGCCTGCTCTGATGGGAGGTGTCCCTGCCTGTGACAGGGGTTTGGATCTGGATGAGCTTTAAGGTCGCTTCCAACCCAGACCAGACTGTAATTCTGTGATTTCCCCTGCAGAACTCTGCCACTTGCATGGAAGCACTGGTTGACTCGTAAAGAGAACTGGATGAGAAGAGTAATATGAGTTGCAATGACTAAGGCTAATTTTAGAGGCAGGGAGAAATGTTTCATCGGAGGGAGTTGGGATTAATGGGACTTGTCAGTCTCCAAGTAACTGAATATTAGCATGCTCCAGATTGTTTTCTCTATTTGCTCAATTTCTGCTTCCCTATCTACTTATGCTGTCATAGTTCCTTATTCAAATGTAGGCATTCCTTTTTCTTATCCTTTGCTTGTAGGCCTCAGCTTGTAGGCCTCAGCTAGTTTTATTTTTATTGTCTCATAATAAGTATAGTTGAGATTCTGTCTCTCTTGTGCACTGTATGTGCTTGACAGTTTTAAATCTACTGAAATACCTTAAGAAAGTTTTTCAGGGGCTTTATAACTTACCCAAATTTGGGTTCTTCTGTGTATGAATAGGAAGGAAGGAAATTTTAAAAAAAAGGTAAATTGTAAGAAATGGGTCAGAGAATTCTCTTTCAGCCTTCTTTTTTTCTTTTTTTTTCTTTTTTTTACTCAAAGCAGATGGCACCAAAATATTTTACTCAAATATCTATTTACTTGAAATAGATATACTCCACAAAGTATTGTCATGCAGTGAACACTGCAGCCAGATGGTCATGGAATGTCCTGGATAACTGGAAATGGGGTTTTACAACATCTTACTAATTGGTTTAGGGAAAATGAATGGTTGTTCTAAGCCACTGTGTGTTCTAGGCACATAGTCATGAGGTTTATTTTTTGTTTTACTAGTTGAATAAATAGTTAAGTAGTTGAGAGTTGATATTACTTAAACTCCGCTTTCTCTTTTTAGATTCATCTGCATTTATCCAGCATATCTGAATAACAAGAAGACGATAGCAGAAGGAAGAAGGATACCTATAGACAAAGTAAGTTTGTGGGTGGCAGGGAAATAAAATGTTTTGTCTTGCTGTATAGCAGTGGTTAAAAGAGTTGGGAAGTAGATCTCAAAGGTATTGCTCTTTCCTGTTCCCCATGATAAGTAGCTTGATAACTGGAAATTACAGCATAGTTGAAGGTAACCTAGTCAGCATGTGAATTTGGTAGAAGAGCGCTGGGTTTAAGTGTCAATTTCATGCAAGCAGCACCTTTGGCAAACAGGTGAAGTACTGACAAACTTAATGCACCCGACCTCCCACATAAGTAGTTTGTCAAATTTGAAAGCAAAATAAGAAAAGAAGAGATACCTAATGAATGTGTTTATGTGACTGACTGTACGTGCCTATAGTCTGTGCCCTGTCCCCACTGCTGGTGTTGAAGGTAGAATTTACACCGCATGTGGCACATATGCACAATGTAGTAGTTGTTACTGCATTTAGTCTCTCCTGAAATAGTTATTGAAAATCTCCTTTGTGATGTTTTTAACAAGTATTTCTGGGAATATAGAGGGCTTTTCTTTTAGGTTTGTGTGTTTTTTCTGATAATACTTAAACCTTTCTTGAGCATGCAAGTTGCCAGTTAAAGATCTGTCTGTGGGAGAAATCCACTGCTTTGTGCCTAGAAAGTTTCTGTGTTTTCTCCCTTCAGTCGTTGCTGCAAATTTGCTGTTGCCAATTCATGGCTTTTGGTTGTTTCGGTGTTTTGATGTTTTTTTTTTTAAATACAATCAATGTTATTTCAGTTACTTTTCCTCAGCAATTCTTTTACTTCCCCTGTGCTAATTAATCCTCATCTGTTTCCCATTCTTCTGATGTCTTATCTCTTTTTTGGTTTGGGTATTTTTTTATTTTTTTTTTTTGGACCATACAAGCACTCACAGGTGACTTCTAAAGTAGATTTGTCAGTGTGTGAAGTACTTTCTCTTTACTTATCTCCTTTTTGTAGTTACAGAGGATAGGGTGGAAGCTGTTAACTATTGCTGTGTAAGTAGTTCATCACGGAAAAATATGTAACTGTAAAACATTGTTTCAACAGGCTGTTGAAAATCCCACATCTACAGAAATCCAGGATGTATGCGCAGCAGTCGGATTCAACGTGCTGTTAGAGGTAATACAGGAAAAAGAAGACTAGTTACATCTTAGCCGGAGAATGTTCATTTTTTAGTGCAATACCTGCTTGTTCTTTAAATATATGAAGCTGGTTGCTTTTTTGTTAGGGAATGAGTCTGGATTTCTAGAGAGGTAACCTTTTGCAATTAATTTTCTGAAGTAATCACTAATTTAAAACACTGTTGAATTTTTCCAAAAGTTGAGGTCCTCATCTAAGAGAGTGACTGATACCCAAAACCAGAATCAGTTTTTTTTTTAGAACTGTAATATATTCAGATTAGTGCACCCTGCCTATGAAATAGCTTGTATCAATAAGAAACCTGTAACATTTTGACAAAAATAAAGCCTATGAGTATCTCCAAGCAGTGGGCATCAGACATCTGTCTCTAAGTATCTGGAAGGGTGTGTAGCTGTGGAGAGGGTAAAGAAAACCTGTGTCACTGCAGTCCATACTGGTGGGGAGGTGGAGCAGTCCCTGTAGCAGATTATTTGCTAAATTGTTCAGTACCAGTACTAGTTGCAGAAGTGCTTTTGAAAACACTGTGCTATAGCTTTGGATGCTATTGCAGTGGCTGAGTAGTTGGTGACACTGTTGGGTGAGCTACTGTTATGTTTTACATCTGTTAGTATTCCAGGCTGCTATGACTTAGCTCAGTTATTACAGTACTTTTATAATAAGTGTTTCCTTTTGTATGACAGAAAAATAAGATGTATCCCAGAGAGTGGAACAGAGATGTGCAGTACAGAGGTAGAGTACGAATCCAGCTCAAACAAGATGATGGTAATCCATGTTTACCTCAGTTTCCAACACGTGAGTAGAGTACCTGGGTTAGGCACTTTATCTGTTAATAAAACAGAAGGACTTTGTTTATTTTATGTTACCAACTTGCTGAATTAGTTTTACTCTTTCACATTTTACAGCTTTACATTAAATCTCTCTGCCTAAGTCAACCAAATCAATCCTTTTGCTTATGTAAGTCAATCAGATGCAGTTGGTGTGTGAGCATTGAGTGGGATTTGTAAAGTGCTGCTGTCTTTGATCCTGGTATTTCTTCAAGCCGTTGCATTGAAGGAGATTGTGGGGAGTGTTGTATGATTGCTTTGTTTGCTTACTGCTTTGTTGACAGTTAAAGGATTTGGTATTAAAATGGCTAAATTGAGTCTTTTTCTTGGGTTACAGGCATCAGTATGGATGCCAAATTGATGAAGTACAATACTGAGTTCAGCTGAGTTTTCTGCTGGCCATTTTCATAAATTAACAATGGAGCAGCTCCCTTTAAATAACAGGAATAGTTCATCTTGAATGACAAGTAATGTAATATTTTGCATTTTTCCTGAAAACTAGTTGGTGTGTAAAAGCAAAGCAAATATATATACATGTATATATGTATGTATATATATATGAAGAAGTATGTATCTTAAGGAAAGAGCAAGAATAGTATTGAGAGAATAGTATTGAGTCTAGAGTAGCATTGAAGTGCTGTTGGTTAGAAGGAGACAACTTAAACCCCTATTCCTGCTGGAAGGCAGTGCCTTACTAAAAAATGCTTGTAGCTTTGCCTGGTCATTCTGTCCCAGGTATTTTAGGCCCATTAAGGAGGCAGAAAAGTAACAGGAAGGATGTAGATACTTTGGCAATTGTCAGGTTATCTGCCTGTTCTAGTCTACTATGACATTGATCAGTTCTGTACTTCAAAATTAAAAAAAAAAAAAGGCAGAGGGGGAAGTTTGAGAATTTTCTGTAAACTTGTAGCTGCACAGGGGGAAGGAAGCACAGATCCTAGGCTTTAGATCTACTTCTAACAGAAATCTGTATAGGGGCTGAAGTGTCCAACTTTGAAAACTATGCAAATGTTTTTAATGTAGTAGGCATGCATTGATCTCCCCCTATATTTTTAGGTAAATCAGTGATGCTGTATGCTGCAGAAACTATTCCCAAACTGAAATCAAGAACCCAAAAGATGGGAGGTAGTGATCAAAGTCTTCAGCAAGGAGAGGGAGGCAAGAAAGGTAAAGGGAAGAAGAAGAAATGAGCTCACATTTGGAGTAATTGTTACATCACATAGTTGCATTTACGACAAAGGTGGATGGACATATTACTTGCTGCAGCTTCCAAGTGATGGATGAAAGCAAGAAATAAACAGGTGAAGTGGAACAGAACTTTTCTGGGAACTGGAATGTATGTAGCTGCCTCTCATCTATGTAAAAATAAACCTGTCTTGACACACAACCTGCAAGTCTGAAGCTAGCACCCGCTTTTAAAAGTGGAAGAACATAAAGAAATGGGGTGGGAGGGAGAATTATTCTTTACAGAGGAAATATGCAGCTTTTGATAAATACATGAATAAGTACTCTTATGCAGACTAGATACCTGAAAACTGGTTGCCTTAGTAAGCAATTTATCTATGCTAGTGATTTTCTTAACTATGGAGAGTCTTTGTCACTAAGAGAAAAATGTAAATCAATGATGTTATGCCTCTATAAACTTCCCGTGATAATAATTATGGAATCACAGAATCATTTAGATTGGAAAAAGACCCTTAAGATCATCGAGTCCAACTGTTAACCCAGAACAGCCAAGTTCACAACTAAACCATGTCCCAAAGTGCCACATTTACAAATAAATACCTGCAGGAATGGTGACTCCACCACTTCCCTGAGCAGCTTGCTCCAGTGCTTGACAACCCTTTTGGCAAAGAAATTTCTCATAATATCCAATCTAAAATTATCAATTTAAAACGGTCCCTCTTTCACAGCTGTCAAGTATATTAATAAAGGTGACGTTAATTTTTACAAAAATTAATTTTATAGAATACTTCTTCCAAAAGTGTTACTTTTTACTGCACAGCCTTTTGTAAAGAAGTCAGAGGTATATATTGTAAGGATAATATTGTAAAGTTTTAAGATAATTGGGGAGGGCAGGGGGGAGAGCTCCCTTTTGTGTCTTATATAATATGGGACACTATATTATCCCATTTGGGGTAGTTCAAGCACTTAGGAAATGCAGCTTTACTTTTCCATCCTATTTCAGATATCTGAGGCTTGCAGTATTTGGTAACTTAAAATTTTCTTTTCTTTTCTTTTTTTTTTTTTTTTTTTATATCCCACACAGGGACGTAAAGTTACTTGAAGAAGGTGAGTTAGTCACAATAGCTGTCAAGTAGCAAGGTTCCTTCAGACTGATTAAGACATGTACTGTGCAAGTTAAATGAGAGAGAATTCAATATAAGGAGACTGAAAAGCAGCAGTACCTGTTTTGAATTTCAAACAAAAAATTCTGCATGAGTTTTCTAATACTTACTGTATGAAAACAAAAGTCACTTGAATGCTTTCACAGATGACTATTGGAAGCAAGTTACGGATTATTTTTGATGAATTTTTCATGTGCCAACATTCTCTTTCAAGACTTCTCTCGCTTGTCTTATCAGGTATGCTACACCATGGCATCACCTTTTTCCCACTTTAAAGAGGAACAGCATTCAAAATGCATTCAGATATTTAATGATGATTCTAAAGTAATGAAACTTGGTGAAGTTCTTGATGATATCCCAAGTTACTTGTCATTGTAGTTTGAGTTTTCTTATGTTCGTACATTTCTTGTTGCACTCAACTGCAACTTTTTCAAATGGATGGTGAAGCCCCTTGAAGCTGATGCCAGTAGGTACGCATAGTGCGGCTGCATAGAGCCCCTGATTTGTGACTAGTTCAAAGTCAGTTTTATTTCCTGCATGTAATACTTTGTGAGTCTGGTTCTTGCATTGCATTGTTCACTCAAGGGGGACTGCAGTCACAAAGTATCACAGTATGTTAGAGATTGGAAGGGACCTCGAAAGATCATCTAGTCCAATCCCCGTGCCAGAGCAGGAACACCTAGATAATGTTACACAGGAATGTGTCCAGGTGGGTTTTGAATGTCTCCAGGAAAGGAGACTCCACAACCTCCCTGGGCAGCCTGTCTTCCTCTACTAAATCCAGAAGCTGCCATGGCAAGTTCCTGAGTCCAAGCCCTGTACTAGTGAGATAGAAGCAGTATGTAGAGTTTCTAAAATGGAATGTTTTAGGAGAAGAAGTTCTGTTTTCTAAGGCTGTAATCGACTATGGTTGTATATAAATGTCTTCAGGTTTTCGTCTGGCGATGTAACAGTTCATGTATTCTGCGTTTGGACTATCTGAGCTTGAAAACGCACCTAAACTTTGAGAAGTTAGTTAAGTGGTATTTCTGTGAGTTGATGGAATGCCACAGAGTAGGAACAGCAGGGAGAGATGCTATCTGAAGGGGGGGCATGGGGGGTGTTAGCAGAAAACAGAGTGCTGAGTAACTTTCCTGAAACTTTAAACAGTGAGAGCTCTGTGAAAGTTAATTGGTATGAGGTAACTCAGTTAAGTGGAGGGGGATGTCTCTAGCTGAGTCCTGGTCATGTTATGCCATCTAAATCAGTAGTCTAAATGAAGTATTCTAAATCAAATAATTAAGTACTCTAAATCAGAGCTTGAGACTATGGACAGATGAAAAATGTGGAGGTTAAATCCCATAGGATATCTGTTTACACTGTTCAGAAATTAAATATCTTGCGAACTTGTCTGTGCTATGTTGTAAATGTTGAGAAAGAATCTTGGTGGCATTGCTTACCAAAATTTCCCAAGGAACTCAAAATAGTAAAGCTGTTTTAAAGTGTAAGAGTATTACAAAGAAGACTGAGAAAGATCTCTGGAAAGAGTAATATTGAGCTCAAATTTATGAAACTGTGATTTAATCAAATAAACAAAGCTCTTCAGGTATTTTGGTTAAAGCTGATTTTATTTTTTTTTTAAGAGCAAATTGTGCAGTGCTGGGCAATCAGATGATTACTGCCCTTAGAGGGCTGAAATCTGGTTCCTGCAACACCTGCTTGCTTAATCCCCCATCTCTGAATGAGTTCTGTCTAGTTTTAGTGTAAGTACAGTATGTGAGCAGTGTTTGTTCTTAAATGAGGCATCATGAAGTTAAATGCAACTCCTCGTTTCCTGCCAAGGTTAAGCTTCTATTTCTGTATTTCCTGTTTTTTTAATAAACTGAGTTCCTTAAACTGAGTTCGTTTTTTCCTTTAAGAAAAGTGGGTCAAGACAGTAAGGTTCTTCTGACGGTCTTCCCCCTTCCTAAGCACCCTTCCCATCTCCCCTTGTTTGCTTCACTTCGTGGGAACAGGGAAGATAGCATTGCAGGACTCTGAGTGGAGATGAGGCTGCTGTAAAAATACAGAAATACTGCAACTATCAGTCTCAATGCTATCAATAAAAAAACCATTTTGATTGAAAACAGGGTGATAATGGACATCTTTTTATGTCACCTGTCTTGCTTTTACAGTTCTCTGAGAATCTTAAGCAGTTTAGTAACTTTCCGAGTTACTAAGGGAGCACTGTCTGTAGTTTCCTGTAGATGGCAGTATTAACAAAGACGTGCATCGCTGATTGGGATTACTCTCTATCAAAGGCACGAGTAATGTGGATATTGATCTAGTGTCCTTACAGAATTGACTAGCTGTTTAAAAATATATACTTGTTGTTTTCCTATACTGTTTTGTGGATACCTAGGCAAAGATTTCACATTTGAAATGGACGTGTGAGCTAAGAATCTTTGTAACAATCCTCATCAGTTTCTGTGTCAGCATTGTATGGGGACATTGCCCATTAAGCAGATCTGAAGGTACAGGCAATTAACGAAGGAATTAGTAAAACTGAAGTTTCAGAACTGTTGTCAGATGTGTCAGGGCATATAGCTGCTGTAACAGAAGCACAGTTATCATTATTCAGTTCTGATTTCAAATATTATATTGAAATGTGTTTTAACATGGGAAGGGACAATAATGTATGGACGTATGTAGTTCTCTACATTCAGCCATAAAGTAAATTTCTCACAGACCAGCTCTGCAGAAAATGGCTGTTCTTAAAAAGCTTGCCTGGTGTGCATCTTGTTCCTTGTGTGTGCTTACAAGTTAGAGCCTTCTAGCCAAAACTCCCTTTTGGAGCAGCATATACAGCTGGTGTTCATATACTTGAAAGCATAAAAGATGGTGTGGCTCCCTTGTTTCCTGCTGTTTCTAGCTGCAGAGGTGGCTTTGTTGGAAGAGTGGACTATTTCATTTGGAAGGGATCTACAATGATCATCTAGTCCAATTGCCTGACTGCTTCAGGGCTGACCAAAAGTCAAAGCATGTTGTTAAGGGCATTGTCCAACTGACACGCTTGGGGCATTGACTGCCTCTCTAGGATAAGAAGCCTGTTTTAGTGCTTGACTACTCTCATGGTAAAGATGTGTTTACTAATGTCAAGTCTGAACCTCCCCTGGTGCAGCTTTGAACCATTCCCATGTGTCTTGTCACTGGATACCAGTTATTTAGCTTCTTCCTGTTACAGACTGGCTTTTATGGGGTTAATTCACCTCTTAGGATAAAATAACCTGGCTTTTCAGAGAGTGTTTGGGGGGGATTTTTTCCCCTAAAGAAAAAGGACAATGCAAATACTCTCTTCTTATATTGCTTTAGAACTTTTAAGCCTGCTGCATCATTGTAGGGACAAAAAAAAAAAGACGAGGAGAATGAGTATTCATCCTTCCTGGTTGGCAGTTTGCTCTGACCAATCTGTATTTAATATCTTGGGTGATCAGTCAGCACACATGCAACTGGAGATAAGGTACAGATTAGATCTGGTAAGAGCTAAAGATGGGAGGATTGACTATACTATAATGCCTGGTGTAAGAGAGGTGGGAGAAGGGTGACTGTCATTGGTAGAAAGGGACCTGGAAAAGAGCAGAGGACACTCCAGGTAGGAACAAGTTGCCTGCACTGTAGTGCTGTTTCTTATGAAACATTACATGTGCCTTTTTTCTCTGTATGAAGATCTGGGTTTTTTGGGGGGCTGTGTTTTTTATGTTGTTTGTTTTTCCCAGATAGCAAAAAAGGATGATCAGGGGACTGGAACATCTCCCATACAAAGGCTGAGAAAGTTGGGGCTGTTCAGCCTGGAGAAGCTGTGTGGAAACTTCATAGTAGTCTTCCAGTATCTCTGTGCCAAAGAGACCCTCTTCATCAGGGACTGTAGCGATAGGACAAGGGGTAATGGGTTCAAACTTAAACAGGGGAAGTTCAGGCTAGTTATAGGAAGTTATATTAGTTACAAGGAAGAACTTCTTAACTGTGAGGGTGGTGAGGCACTGGAACAGGTTGCCCAAAGAAGTGGTAAATGCTCCAGCCCTGGCAGTGTTCAAGGTCAGGTTGGACAGGCCTTGGGCAACCTGGTCTAGTGGAAGGTGTCCCTGCCCATGGTAGGGGGTTGGAACTGGATGACCTTTTTAAAGTCCTTTCCAACACAAACCATTCTGTGATTCTATGAGTTTAGACAT